CCATTTCTGTAATATACTTACTTACTAATATATTATTATTGCTAATATATATTGTAATATATCTGTATCATGGCTTAAGCACTTTCTGTATGGATGCAAACTGCATTTCGTTGCCTTGTACCTGTGACATGTGCAATGACAATAAAGTTGAATTCTATTCTATTTAAAATTCTTAATATTCTAAATAACTATCTGTATATGTCTTTGTGCTACAACACAGCAATATAAAGAATCATAAAACAGAAATAATATCAACAGAGAACGCTGTACTTTCATACAGTCTTTGAGCACATGTTTTTACCTTTGACTGTCAAACTAGAGAATTTTCTTGACAAAATATAAACTCAGTGTTTGTTTTTAAGGAATCTTCACCATCATTAACTTCAGGTACCGCATATTACTCTCAATAAACTTTGACCTTCAAAAACCTCATAATACTGCTTGCTAGGGAGTCAGTTCCAACACTTAATTAATTATCAGATGAGGCCTATAATAAAGACAATTATTCAGATTAGAAGAAGGAAATCGGAGGCTACGGAGCTAAATGACAAGCACAGTTGGTAACTTTGGCTACAGATAATCATCTTTTTAAGTATTAAATATTCTGTGTAAACTGCCAGTAGCAGTTCATATATTCTTAATTAGGATTAATGGCAGGCCAGCATTAAAATATGATAGATAACGAGCATTACCAACTGGGGAGGTGGACATAAGAAAAATGAAGTCGTGAGGGCAGGTGGTAAAGTAGGGGTGGCAGCCTGCAGTCGGCACGTAGCGCCCCCGTGAGATGGCTCTAATGAGATGAGTATTTTCACCTCAGCAGTGCCAATACACACAACATTTTATGGGCTCCGTTCCACAGGGTGCATTAAGAGACCTTGTAGTTTTTGGTCTGAATAATGCCTCACCTCAAGTCTCCCCCTGCCTCCCAACGGACCTCGACAGCTCCTGTTGAGCACAGTGAACAACATTAAGATCTGAGCAGCATGTGACCATCAAAATGTCACTGTGCTCGTTTCTCTGCCAGAGTAATGTGCCTGTGGACTTGTTAGTGGCTGCCTTGGGACTTGTAACATGCTGCACAGGGCCTCTCCTGTTCCTACAAACCTGAGGCTAATTTGGAGGCAAATGTGTTTTTTTTTTTTGTTTGTTTTTTTTAAAGATGAGGACAAACACACAAGACAGTTATAAATAAATCCAAAAAGTTGTGACATTATACTTCCTATTCATCCGAGACCTCCTTAGCTGTTGAAATGTTTCCTGCCAGCAAACTGTCACATTTGTTCCTCGTCGTGAACAGCCTGCCTTCACTTTGTAACCACTGCAGCATATAAAGACAAAAATTGCTGTCAGATCAGCTTCAGCCCCTTAACTCAGTCATTCTGTGCCAAACTGTTTTGCTCTGAACTTACCACTTACAATCAGCGGCTCAGTTTGAACTGAATTTGCATAAATGTCACCCACACACGCAAAAAAATTACAGGTTTTATTCCTCCAAATGGGGCAGTTAATGTAAGCCTGAGAGATGAATAAAAGGCATGAATGAAATATACCTGAAACAGCAGCATGCTGGGCAGCTCAGGAAAGAAATGCCTATAGATGTGGTTAATATATCCTGAATAATATTTTGACTAATCTAAATATGAAGACATTTAAAGCCTCTCAAGTGGTCTCATATTTTTCCTCAACAAGTTAATCGGTCTGAGATGAGCACTGCTGTGTCTTTATAGGTGGACAGTCTTCACATTAGCGAGGTCTTACCAGACAGGAAGAGTCTGTACACTGCTAGAACGGTCTGAGAGCCATTTCATTTAACAGCAAGTGAAAATACTCCATGAAGCTAATTTATCCTCTCACCAGCCACTTTATTAGGTATACCTGTTCAACTACTCTTTATTATAAATCACATCAGCCAGTCTTGTGGCATCCACTATGTGCAGGTAGGCATATAGACATGGTGAAGACAATCTACTGAAGTCCAAACGGATCATCAGAATGGGGAAGAAAGGTGATATTAGGGCCTCTGAATGTGGCATGGTTGTTGGTGCCAGACAGTCTGATCTCAGTACCTCAGAAACTGCTGATCTGCTGGGATTTTCCCACACAACATCTCCAGGATTTACAGAGAATGATCTGAAAAACAGAAAATATCCAGTAAGCGGCGGTGAAAATGCCTTGTGAGGCCAATCGTCACAGGAGATCGTCCAGACTGCTTCAAGTTAGTAGGACGGCAACGGGAACTCTAATAACCACGTGATACAAACAAGGTACGCAGAAGAGCATCTATGAACGCACGGTATGTCAAACTTTGAAGCAGACCGCTAATAGAAGATTAGAAAAATGTTGTCTGGTGTGCTGAACCTTGATTTCTTCTGTGACATTCAGATGGTGGGATCAGAATTAGGTACACGCATTAAAGCATGGATGCATCCTGCTTTGTATGAATAGCTCAGGCTACTGCAAATCTGAAGCAACTGTGTGATGCTATCATGTCAGGAATGTTTCCAGCGCCTTACTGAAACTGTGCCATGAAAAAGGAAGGGGGTCCAAGCCAGCACCAGCGGGGCACAGTTGATGCTGATGAGTGTACGTTTTGAGGGGAGTAAAAGAAAGCAGATCAATAGGATATTTTCCCAATATATAACTTTATTTAAAATATTGTTACAATTTATTACTCTACACAACATTTTCAAAACTTTTCTCTTTTTCTTACACTGGTTAGTAAACCTTCCTGGATAATTTTAGATATAAAACTCTCCATTTTTCCTTTTTTTTTTAAGCCTCAGGTGTTAATGTCTTTATACACTTAGTAAATGAGACACCGCTTCTCTTTTAAACACCTTTTCTCTGTGTGTTTCACAAACGTTCCCCTCCTCGACACACACTCACACACGCGCACACAGACACACACACAAAAAAAAGATCACTGGTGGCTCTAACATTGTACACTATAATTTCCCCAATCTTTATAGTTTCTTTTTTTTTTTTAAATAAATAAAAAGTTCTGAGTTGGAGAAACAAGAGTGCATTATTATTATTTTTTTAATCAGAAGAATATTCTTTTACTTTTTAAAACAGCTATTTACAGGTTATGCTGGAGATAGCAACAAGGCTTAGATTTGTAATCAACGTCGGTGTCAGCTTGCAATGGGAAAGCCCCCGTCTCTGTAAGCAATGAAGAGAAATTAATCACATGGAGGCCAGCACTTTTTGAACACCAATTACATCCACCCTTCAGATTAGTCATAGGGAGGACACATCAGCTAAAAACAGACAAGCCTACAGCTAATGTGCTCTGACCCAGATGTGCATTCCAGAGGTCCAAAGACATCAAGTTTACTGACGACACCAACATAACCTCTGGACGAAGTCAAAAAAACAAAAAATAAATCAAAACTTCAAACAGATTCATCGAAACGCTGCAGCGTTCAAACAAACAGGCCTTCATATATTATCTGCCACTGAAAAATGTTATGAAAATCAGCACTGATTTGGCACACAAGACTCAGAAAACTGATGTGTTACTATAGCAACAGTATCATGTAGATGAGCGTTTCAGTGCTGGTTAGTGATGAAGACAAACTTTCTGAGCCCTCGTGTGCAGTCCACGCATGGACATTTTTTATTCTGCCATCACCACGTTTGCATTCACGTCATCTGTTAACCTCTTACAATCCACCCCGGTTGCTGTGCTAGGACAACGGGGACAACAGCATAGCCAAATGGGGAAAAAAAGCAGATTGGGAGAACCGTGAGGACAAAAATGGCGTATGAGGATTAATCTGAATGTTAATGGTTCTGGAAATGTGCTCGTTTAACATGCAGATAAATCGCAACCAGGTCCCCGGTGACCTGCTGGATGTTAAAAGCTTAAGCACTGTGTGAAAATTTTATCTCATCTTCATAATTAAATACTCACTTTGAAGCCCAGTTGGGCCACGGCACCGCAAATACGCTGACAAACAGAAAGTAACACAGATCGACTGTACAAAGACATGCTTCTTAACATTCCCTTCATCTCTTAGCTGTCACCTACGCGCTGCTTTCTATGACATTTAGCTCACAGAAGAAACGTCTCCAACGGACAACAGCTCACAGGGTACACACACCTGCCTGTGACTGAGCTTAAGATGGCATCTGGTGCAGACAAGACAAACCGAACCAGCGAGAAAAGAAAAGGAAAACAAAAAACAACTAAACAAAAAACACAAAAAACCCACAGGGAAAACAGCAGCTTTCTAAAAGCCTATTCACAGCAGCACGAGCCACGGGGACAGAGAACAAACATCAAACAGTAAAAACACACCGCTTTGAATACATTATTGGGAGGACCGAGTCAGTTGGCTGACAGGAATAAAAGGAACAGAGGCTGCACTGAGCGTGTGGAGACAACGTGGTGCTGCCACGGCAACCGCATCTCCTGCGCTGACGGGAGACCAACCTGGAGAGAGTACGAGCAGAGGACAGACAAACCTGCACGCAAGCACACAATCTAGCTTATACCCCCCACCCCAAAATAAATAAATAAAAAAACCCATCATGGTTGAATAGCTTTGATTCTTATGTCATCCATCTCTAAATTGCCTATTACTCTGCCTGTCAAAATGCCCATCCTGCATTGCAGTTTTTCCCCCCTCTTATTCCAGCTACTTGTGATGTGTTGCAAAGAACAAACAAACATGATACTACACTGAGGTATGTATTTCTATAAACTCCTGTATAACTGAGGCCTGTGCTCAGAAGCAACAATTGGGCTGCAATTAAAATATTTTGTACAGCTGCAACAGTTTTGTGAGAGTAGCAGGGAGCTGGACTGGTGGCATTGGGGGTGGGGGGTGGGGGGGG